GGTGAACGTGCGTGACCTCCCCACCACCACCACTACTACTACTACTGGTGAGAGCACTGGAATCTCGCAATCACAAGGTTCAAGGTCTGATTTCCTGGGACTGAGAAACACACGGGCATGCTTTCCGACACTCTACCAGCCCCTGTCCATCTAGCAGTAAAACAAATGTACTCGTGTGTTAGCCTACTGTGGTTGACAAGCAGGAAAAAAAAGTGCATCAGTAAACTGCAGTACCTGCTGGAACGTCATATCCAGCGTAAAAAAGACCTGTGTAAGAAACTCTAGTACCTACTGGAAGTACTCAAGTGTTGGGTAACAGGTATTCGTGTACCTAATGGCGTTAATTATAAAATAAATTACAAGTATCCAGGCTGAACAGCTGCTGACGCCCACCGCATTCCGCGCACAAATTCGTGTTCATTCATTGTTTATACTGTGACAAAAGACTGATGTACTGTAGTGCGCCTGGCTGATGTTGGACCCAGATTAATTAAAGATTCAGTGTAGTGTAACCGTGTCAGTGTAGCCGTGTAAAATTACTATTATGGTACATTGGTGAGAAAGCGTTAAACCCGTAGGAAAGGCGCTCGTTTGATCCAAGGAAGCGGAGGTCATAGTTTAGGGAGTGGGAGGAAATCTTCGATCCAAGGGAGGGGGGCTCAAATTCCTTTGATCAAGACACCGACAGTAGTTTCAAGGCACTAATCCCCTTGATGGGGAGACAATCTAATTCCTCGGATCAAGAGCAGTTGAAGGCACTCCCATGAAAGGCTCAAACACCACTCAAGTTGGTAACTTCATTTACATTTAATCATCTTGCCCTAGATGGCAGTGACTAATGATGGTATTGCAATCACAATGGGCAAGCGGCAAATCCGCAGAGGTTATATAGGACCTGGAAAATGAATGATAATCAGGCTTGATCCAAGGAAGGGGATTGTTGGTTAATGCAAGGTTTGAAACCTATAGACCACACGAGAGTAATTGAGGCTGCACCTCAGTTCCCCTCTTTTCTAATGCTATTTTTCCCCTATAATCTATCTTGTCCATAATTACTATCGCATTTCTTTGTCTGCTTTCGGAAAGATTCTAGACTTCACCTTACGAAAGCAGACAAAGCAAATTCGACAGTAATTATGGACAAGGTAGATTACTGGGAAAAAATAAACATATTAGTAGACAGGGTAACTCAGGCGTTTCTTGAGGCTTCACGCAAATCTTTTTCACCACTAAAGAATACTTTAATACCTAAAATAGAGATTAAAAGTAAACGCTCTGCGTATATACGCCGAGATAAATAAATTTCTCGGTGTATATACCAAGGGGAGAAGAAATCTATTTTCTCGGATCAAGAGCCCCTCAGCGGCATCAAGGCGCTTCGCAATACTAGCCGAGGTTTACAGATTCATTTAGTATCAACACTTAGTTTCATCCTTTTATAATTATTATAATAAAAAAGAAGCGCTAAATCACAAGAGCTATACAGTTCCTCCAATATTCTGAAACATCATTATTTAGATTATTCAAGAAGCGCTAATTCCGTAAGGGTCATACTCACCTGAGGAATGGATGGTAGTTTCGTTTGATTCAGGGAAGAAGAGGGTGGATCCAGTTTCTGGGATCATGAAACTCCTGGAAGGGTGCCGAGACGAGATGTGCTTGCTCACGACACTTTTCTCTCACTCACCCACCTTAGTGTCTCACCCACATAGTTTCACGATTGTGGTGATACCAGTCACCGCGCGTGACTCACCAAGACGCTAGCCACACACTGTACACACTGGCTACTGCTGCTTGACCATCTTCCTCTACTTTCTTTTGCATGCGTGGGTGCAATTACCTATTGTAGCTACAGCACATTTGTTAGGTATCCCCGAAGGACCTTCATGAGGTAGCCTGATTTCTTCCTTCCAACTTTTTTTTTTTTGTTCGCTCGTAATTCGAGAAAGTCTCATCCAAATTTTCAAACACTTGTGTACGATTACTAGGACCGGATTTTGGAATAATTAGCCATGCTCACGTGCCCTATGACCAAATTTATTGACTCCAGTCCCAGCATCCAGAAATGGCTCTGACTACTTCCAAAATTCTCATTGGCAGAGCTTCAAACATGAAAAAACAAAGGTTAATTCGACGACGGGGAATTGAAATCGTGTGTAGGATCAGATCTGACCATTTTGTGTGAAATGATGAGAGATACGAAGAGCAGACTGCGCATCACTTTTCTCAGCAGACATGCGCGGCAGTATATTTTAATCAAGGGAAAAGTCCTACATTCACAGGTCTCTTATTGCGCCTTAGAAGCGGGAGGTATTCAAGTTCGGCTCAAGAGCCCCTCACCGAAATCAAGGCACCACCCTCGAGGAACGGCTGCAGTACTGAGTGGGAGTATGATCGGAAATTTGAGAATAAGGAATACCACTGCGCACGAGAAGTGCATTTTCGTTGTATGACTCATTGACAGATAGCAATTACAATTTATGTATTAGGTTCTTTTTAAACTAATACATACAGGGAGGAGGGGGAAATATTTGAACATTTCCGTGATTCCCCCCCCCCCATATCCTTCGACATTCCATTGTAAAATAACCATTAATAGTGACCAGTAACATAGTGGTATTGGAGAACAGGTTGGTTATGGGCTAGGGTAATCACCTAACTGGGGTTGCAGGGGTCAAGTCATAGCTCCTGGCCCCCGCCTCTTCCCTGGTCATTGGGTGACTGGTGAAGCGTGTGACAGCAGTAAGTCGTTAATAAGATGTTTGTGTGTAACGTTAATAGACGGACAACAGTTGTGAAGGTGGGCTGTGAGTGGTTTGCAAAGCACTAAAACAGTTTGGTTACTTAGTTCTTTACACATTCAGTTTCTAACCTTATCGGGTTTACATTAACTTGCTACTGTCAAAGACTAATTTACCCTTCTGAGTAAATACTAACCACACAGAGCAAGTAAATTTATTCATTTTTATTTTCACATTCAACATTCCCCATTTCACTCCGTGTTATCGGCAGTCATGAAATTTGGACCAAAGAAGCACCCCCATCATTTATGCTCTAAGATAGTCAGACAAGCACCCTGTGGGGAGTGGCATCTCTCTCAAGAGATCTCTACACCTAGTCACAAGCCTACTCATCCACCATCGCGAGTGACCCAGCGTCGGGAAAGTTTCTTCCTTAAACAATATTCCACGAAAAGGAAGGTGGGAGAATAGCCCCTCAATGAGACCCAAAGGAGGGAGAGAAACTATTTTCAGAGCACTCTGATCTTCTTGGTCACAGCGCTTATAATGTATACATAAAACTCATAATATGGACAAATGTTATGTTAATGCTCAGGGTTTATTACCTGGACCTCAGCAATGAGAGTCGCTACTCTCACCGCTGGGCAACGGCGACCAGTGCAATAGGGACAAATAAAAAAAAAAAAAGCTACGGACAAACGCCCAACACGAAGGGAAGGGTTGGGCGTACTTATATTAGCTCCAAGAGCAGAAAACGTGTCCTTCGAGCTCCTTCGCCAGTCAGAAACACCCTGTTAAAAGGAATCAAGCGTGTAGAAAGCCTGAAACACTTTAGGCTTCTGCACCATCATTCCTTGTAAAAGTTAACTAATTCCAATGGTTCTCCTGGTCGTTCCGCTTAACAGCTACCCCGGGACTCTCACAATCCAACATCAAGGTTAATAGACGAACATGAACCTCGTTTGTCTGGTATCAAGGGTAATATTTCATTCATGGAAAAACGTTAAACCCGTTGGGTCATACAGCGCCCGGGAAACAGGAGGCAATCAGGTTTGATGCAAAGGGGGTGGGGGGTTAGCTCCAATTTAGGAGTCAAGAGCCCTTCACCGGCACCAAGGCGGCTTTGCAAGAGACTATTGCGCGTTGGAAGGCCTGAGTGACCAACCTCCAGCACTGATCTACGACACAGCAACACACCAGACACGGGCTGGTAATGTTTAGGTTTTTTACCTGCACTTATGCTTGGTAAACGAGGACAGCAGGTGTAAAGAAATGTCCAACATATCCATGTCATCCTCGGAGTGAGCAGAAACGTTGGGCACGTCTCTTTACACCTGTTGCCCCTGTTCACCTATCAGTAAATAGGCTATTTTTTTTTAGGTTTCTAATCATGGGGAAGCACTAAACCTGCAAGTCATGGTGCCTGAGAAAAAAACAGTTATTTAGATTCAACCCAAGTCCAATTCCTTGTATTTAGAGCTCCTCGCTGGTATCAAGGCACCTCTCGGCAGGATGAAAAAGAATTACACAAATTTGCCCTCCGATGCTATCTGTAAATTATTTTAAGCGAAACTGGCATCACGTTACATTAGTGGGGAAACCGAACCTCTAGGTGTCATGCAAGGGCCTGTGGCGCCGGGGGCTACCGTCGTCCCGAGAAAGGTGACGGGATAGCTATTTCCTTTATTATAATCAACAGGTTATTTCCTTGAAATAAAACCATTTTACCTACATAATAAGCAAGCTCTTTGAAGGGTTTAACATATTAAACCATCAATCCCTTCATAGGGGGGAGGTCACGCCAGTAAAAGGTTCTTGTTCTAAAGAAACTGAGCTCATTGCCTATTCGTCTGGACAAAGGTAGCCTCTAGTGCTACAGGCACTGCATGACTCCCAAAGAGTTCAGAGTTTCCCCAATGAATATAATGTAACGTTTTCACTGTAGTGTTTATTCAACCAGACTGTGGCTGTGTGAACGTCTGAACACCTCTCATCCAGCACCACTCCTAACACTTGTGGCTGTGTGAACGTCTGAACACCTCCCATCCGACACCACTCCTAACACTTGTGGCTGTGTGAACGTCTGAACACCTCCCATCCGACACCACTCCTAACACTTGTGGCTGTGTGAACGTCTGAACACCTCCCATCCGACACCACTCCTAACACTTGTGGCTGTGTGAACGTCTGAACACCTCCCATCCGACACGCCTCATCATCACGCTCTCAAGGCAACTAATAGACTTTGCAAAACTCATTCTTTATTGCGTTAAATAAAGATAATGTCACAGTCATGGGTTCATGTATATTAAACTTTCCCTGATTTCCCATAAACTTTCTTCTGCAAAACATGACAGATGGAAGAGTGACTGAACACAGTTTGATATGTACACACTAGATTCTATACGCGAGTGATGTGACAGTGCACCTCGTGCGTGCACGTGCACCTGTCCATTAGAGAGCTTTCACCGTCTCGACGCACCAGTAAACAGCAGTAACCTTACATTATGGCGCACTTCTTGCTTGGCTTCTTAACCTCTGCATTTTCACAGTCGTCTGTTTCTGTACCCTGGTCGTCATCCTTGCCTGCTACCGTGGCACCCTGGTCATCCTTGCCTGCTACCGTGGCACCCTGGTCGTCATCCTTGCCTGCTACCGTGGCACCCTGGTCGTCATCTCCTTGCCTGCTACCGTGGCACCCTGGTCGTCATCCTTGCCTGCTACCGTGGCACCCTGGTCGTCATCCTTGCCTGCTACCGTGGCACCCTGGTCGTCATCCTTGCCTGCTACCGTGGCACCCTGGTCATCCTTGCCTGCTACCGTGGCACCCTGGTCGTCATCCTTGCCTGCTACCGTGGCACCCTGGTCGTCATCCTTGCCTGCTACCGTGGCACCCTGGTCGTCATCCTTGCCGGCTACCGTGGCACCCTGGTCGTCATCCTTGCCTGCTACCGTGGCACCCTGGTCGTCATCCTGGCCTGCTACCGTGGCACCCTGGTCGTTATCCTGGCCTGCTACCGTGGCACCCTGGTCGTCATCCTGGCCTGCTACCGTGGCACCCTGGTCGTCATCCTGGCCTGCTACCATGGCACCCTGGTCGTCATCCTTGCCTGCTACCGTGGCACCCTGGTCATCCTTGCCTGCTACCGTGGCACCCTGGTCGTCATCCTTGCCTGCTACCGTGGCACCCTGGTCGTCATCCCTGCCTGCTACCGTGGCACCCTGGTCGTCATCCCTGCCTGCTACCGTGGCACCCTGGTCGTCATCCCTGCCTGCTACCGTGGCAACCTGGTCGTCATCCTTGCCTGCTACCGTGGCAACCTGGTCATCCTTGACTGCTACCGTGGCACCCTGGTCGTCTTCCTTGCCTGCTACCGTGGCACCCTGGTCGTCTTCCTTGCCTGCTACCGTGACAACCTGGTCGTCATCCTTGCCTGCTACCGTGGCAACCTGGTCGTCATCCTTGCCTGCTACCGTGGCACCCTGGTCGTCATCCTTGCCTGCTACCGTGGCACCCTGGTCGTCTTCCTTGCCTGCTACCGTGGCACCCTGGTCGTCATCCTTGCCTGCTACCGTGGCACCCTGGTCGTCATCCTTGCCTGCTACCGTGGCACCCTGGTCGTCCTTGCCTGCTACCGTGGCACCCTGGTCATTGTCTGCTACCGTGGCACCCTGGTCGTCATTGTCTGCTACCGTGGCACCCTGGTCATCCTCGTCTGCTACCGAGGCACCCTGGTCGTATTCCTTGCCTGCTACCGTGGCACCCTGGTCGTATTCCTTGAATGCTACCATGGCACCCTGGTCATCCTCGTCTGCTACCGTGGCACCCTGGTCATAGTTATCTGCTGTGGCACCCTGGTCGTCATCCTTGTCTACTACCGTGGCACCCTGGTCATCCTTGTCTGCTACCGTGGCACCCTGTTCATCCTTGTCTGCTACCGTGGCACCCTGGTCATCTTTGTCTGCTATCGTGGCACCCTGGTCGTCATCCTTGTCTGCTACGGTGGCACCCTGGTCGTCATCTGCTACCGTGGCACCCTGGTCATCCTTGTCTGCTAAAGTGGCACCCTGGTCATCCTTGTCTGCTAAAGTGGCACCATGGTCGTCATCCTTGTCTGCTAAAGTGGCACCATGGTCGTCATCCTTGTCTGCTACAGTGGCACCCTGGTCGCCATCCTTGTCTGCTACAGTGGCACCCTGGTCGTCATCCTTGTCTGCTACAGTGGCACCCTGGTCATCCTTGTCTGCTACAGTGGCACCCTGGTCATCCTTGTCTGCTACAGTGGCACCCTGGTCATCCTTGTCTGCTACAGTGGCACCCTGGTCGTCATCCTTGTCTGCTACAGTGGCACCCTGGTCGTCATCCTTGTCTGCTAAAGTGGCACCCTGGTCGTCATTGGCTGCTGTAATGGCACCCTGGTCGTCATCCTTGCCTGCTGCCGTGGCACCCTGGTCATCCTTTTCTGCTACTGTGGCACCCTGGTCGTCATCCTTGTCTGCTACAGTGGCACCCTGGTCGTCATTGTCTGCTGTAATGGCACCCTGGTCATCCTTGCCTGCTGCCGTGGCACCCTGGTCATCCTTTTCTGCTAACGTGGCACCCTGGTCGTCATCCTTGCCTGCTGTGGCACCCTGGTCATCATCCTTGCTTGCCATGGCACCCTGGTCATCATCCTTGCCTGCTTTGGCACCCTGGTCATCCTGACATGAAGACAGGTCGTTTAACGCAGAAATGCACCGATTGATTCCAGTTTCCTTAGTTTCATTATTGCTAAATTTCTGATGAACAATGGATACCAACTCAATGTTATTTCTGGACTGGGAGAAATATTTATCACTACTTACAGAAAGACTTTGACAAACTTGGGTTGTGGATAGTTCCACGTAACTTCCCAAAGGTGACAATTTTTCCCCATAATTCGGATCACTACTGTCGTTTTTTGAAATCCCAGTTAATAAAAATTCCTGACTCCCTTTGCCTGAAGGAAATCGCTGGCTTAATTTTTCCTTCTCTTGAGGAAAACCCAAACTCTGAGCACTTTTAAGTAAAGTCTCTCTGTCACTTTGGGACGAAGAAACCTCAAGTGACTTGGGGAAAATTTCTTTCAAAGGAGAAGCCACAGGTTTTGCGCTGTCTTTGGATAGGAGCTCAGTACTTTCTGAGCCTGTTGCATCTCCGACAGCCGCTGATTGACCCAGGACGCCTTCGACAGCCACTGACTGACCCGGGACGCCTTCGACAGCCGCTGACCGACCCGGGACGCCTTCGACAGCCGCTGACTGACCCGGGACATCAAAGACAGCGGCTGGTGGACCTGGGACATCTAAGACAGCGGCTGGTGGACCCGGTGCGTCTAAGACTACCGGCGATGGACCCGGGACGTCTAAGACAGCCGCTGATGGACCCGGGACGTCTAAGACAGCCGCTGATGGACCCGGGACGTCTAAGACAGCCTCCGATGGACCTGCAGCATCACCGGGAACAGCTGGACCGGCATCATGTCTTGCAATATTACCTAGGTCGTCCATGGCTGCAGTATCCTGGTCGTGAGGAAGAGTTATACTGTGAGACAACACAATTTAAGTATTTCTAGGAAGCAACAGTTCCTTTCGTATGTTAAAAGCAATTAATAATGCAGGTGGTACAAACACTGTTCCAGCCAGACGCCTTTTTTGAGAATTTTACAGCAACGCTAAAGTTATTTTAACACAGGCCCCTGAACACTTACCATTGTTCATGATCCTATTTACTAAGTTAGCGTTACATTGTCCCTCTCTAATCCACTACGTATACTATCTCCTTTTCCATCCTTTCCCTTTTGCCTTTCCACCACTGCTCCTGATTTTTTCCCCTCTCCACTGCCTCCCTCTTCCTCGCCTCCCACTGCACACTAACAGATTAATTCTAGTGGAAAATGAGAAACTTAAAATTACATTTTCCCTGCAAGAGAGGAGGGAACCCTTCTGAATGATAGCAAGTCATACAAAATTTCAGCTCTGCTCTAAGAAAACCTTGAAGCTGCAGTAGATAATAAACCCATGGTGATATGCATAATTTCCTTATTACTTTACTCTCCCAGCTCACTCAGGGTGAGAGACCATCACCTGATGCATGAAACCTATCCTTGTAACAGAATATGCCAGGGAAACGCAGCTAGGTTGTGTTCGCAATATATAATTGTATAGAGCAAGGGAGCCCATTATAATTATAATCATGGGGGAACGCTAAACCTGTAGGATTATACAGCGCATGTGGGGGGTATGGAAGGTATTCAGGCTCAATTCAGGGAACTGGAGCACAGATCCAATTCCCTAGATCAAGAGCCCCTCACCAGCGTCAAGGAACCTCCCTTGATGGGCAGGGCAGCAGAATGCAGTTATTAAATTGTCTAAAGAAAAAATCCTCTATGCTCCCCCCACCCATTCTTTCCATATGCCTAGCGCTCCTTTCCACATCTTTCTCACGACCCCTCTCCCCACTAGAATTCTTTAATACTCGTGGATATTAAGGATTCTTGAATACCTCGATACGAATTTTTTTTAATACCCGAGTGCTGTGATGCCAAGCAAAAACGAATCTTTAAAATAATCTCGGTCAAATCAATTTTGGGAATGGTATAAAACCAGTGAGCATGTGCACGTGTCTACTGCTCTACGAACCTTCATCTAGTAATAGCTGACCAGATTTTGAAATTTGAAGTCCATTGGAACAAGTGTTCTGAAGTTATAAACGAAAATATTAGAGGTTAGGTTAGGTGTTTAAGTGTTTCCTGACGCGGGTCTTAGATGATGACCCGCCGTTGGAGTTTTTGGTCATCTGACCGAGGCCTTCCGCTGGCTTACCGGTCCACCCCTTTAAAAATTACGGTCATAGTCAACCATTTTTTGGTGTAAAAAATATTAGATGGTATGAGGAACTGCAGGTGACAGATGAGCTCTGGCATCAAGAGTGCAGCAATCAGGAGTTCACTCAACTCGGGAAATTTAAAAACTATGATTATAAACATAAGCAGTATTTTTTTAGTTATTAATTTTGGTAGTTTTATCAGTTTTAAAATTTTTCTATGAGAGTAAGACCTCATCTTCTGTACATAGTTCTACTGTCTTCAAGTTATGTCCTGGAATTTGTATTGATAAAGCCACTGGATGGCGAAACGTCTACAATAAAGATACCCAGATGTTGCACATGCGTCTTACTCTCATCTTGTCGGTATTATATACCATTCGTACACAAAATTTTTCTACAACCCTGTATGAAATTTTTTTAAATTTTTTAAAGATAGTCCAGTTTTATGAAACTCTCAAAGATTCCAAGTTGAAAAACTATTACCCAAACAAATTTTCCCCACACAAACAAAACTGACTGGGTATTGTCCTGGGACCGTAAGATGCATCAGTCATTAAATATTGAAGCCACTGAGAAGAGGAAGACTTTGACAGTGATTAAAAGGGATTCAAATGCTGACAATTTTACAAAGAAAATGGTCAGATCTGCACCTACCCACCTGAATTTCACTCGGCCATTGTCGAATTAGTATCCATCAGTTTGAACGTTTGAAGCTCAGCCACTTAGGGTTTTGGAGGCTATCCCAGTTATTCCAGGATGCTGGGAATGGGGGTCAATAACTTAGTCAAAGGACACCTGCCAGTTGTTCCTAGAATCAGGTACTTATTACTGTACAAGTGTTCAAAATTTATATGCGACGAAGGGGTTCTAGAATTGTGAAAGAATAGTGACGAGTTGGAAAAAACTAATTGAGGCCACCATTTAAATGTGTCCCTTCAAGGATACGTAATAAACAACTTTATTAATCACTTCAGGCAGCAACAGCCTGGTTAATCTTGTCCTGATCCACCGCGAGGCCTACCTACCTACACCTACCTGGAGTCTAGCTGGAGGGCATTCCGGGGATCAACGCCCCCGCGACCCGGTCCACGACCAGGCCTCCCGGTGAATCAGGGCCTGATCAACGAGGCTGTTACTGCTGGCCGCATGCAATCCAACGTACGAATCAGCCCAGCTGATCCGGCACCGTCTTTAGGTATCTGTCCAGCTCCCTCTTGAAGACAACCAGGGGTCACAGACCAGGCCAAGGGGGCGTTGACCCCCTGAACACCTCCACGTTTACTGCAGGTAATTTAGAGATTCTACTACATACTGTGAATCATTATAGGGAGAGGCTAATATACACAACTTCAGAGTCACAGGAGAGAGGGAGAAAAAAAAAATCCTGCGCACACTATTGGAGTTAAATTTCACACCAATCCGTGAGGCATGGTTGATGATAGGCAACAATTTTAATATATGTGGAGAAATCAGAATGGTAGGTAAGACACACACGCAACAGTTAGGCAACTTTATTCCGAAACGTTTCGCCTACACAGTAGGCTTCTTCAGTCGAGTACAGAAAGTAGGCAGGAAAAGTAGAGATGTGAAGATGATGTAATCAGTCCATCACCCTTGAAGTCGTAGAATTTGAGGTTGTCAGTCCCTCAGCATGGAGAAGTTCAGTTCCATAGTCAGGAACTATCTGAAGATCAAGCGACAGTGCGGTAACTTAAATACTGTCGGAAGGAGAGGTGCAGAGTAGTAGTGAGAATGCAACCACTGAGAGGTCATGTCCCTCTCAGACACTGCAACACAATGGCATCTTGGTACAGAAAACACCTTGGACAACTTTTTTAAGTGAGAATTATTTGATCTGAGAGGGACATGACCTCTCAGTGGCTGCATTCTCACTACTACTACTCTGCACCTCTCCTTCCGACAGTATTTAAGTCTCCGCACTGTCGCTTGATCTTCAGATAGTTCCAGACTATGGAACTGAACTTCTCCAGGCTGAGGGACTGACAACCTCAAATCTACAACTTCAAGGGTGATGGACTGATTACATCGTCTTCACATCTCGACTGTTCCTGCCTACTTTCTGTACTCGACTGAAGAAGCCTAATGTGTAGGCGAAACGTTTCGGAATAAAGTTGCCTAACTGTTGCCTATGTGTCTTACCTACCAACCTGTCTGTATTGTATACCATTTTGATATTCAGAAATCAGAATGAAAGCCAGTCACAGGTAAAGTTCACTGGGGTGGGGGTGTTGAGGTGGAGCCCCTTGTTCATAAATTACATAGATAATGAATAAATTAAAGAAGAGCTGGACGCATTTCGGTCACTGCGTGATCGAAGAAAGTTATACCAATGTTGCATAGGTGGCCTGGTGGCTAAAGCTCCCGCTTTACACACGGAGGGCCCGGGTTCTATTCCCGGCGAGTGGAAACATTTCGACACGTTTCCTTACACCTGTTGTCCTGTTCACCTAGCAGCAAATAGGTACCTGGGTGTTAGTCGACTGGTGTGGGTCGCATCCTGGGGGACAAGATTAAGGACCCCAATGGAAATAAGTTAGACAGTCCTCGATGACGCACTGACTTTCTTGGGTTATCCTGGGTGGCTAACCCTCCGGGGTTAAAAATCCGAACGAAATCTTATCTTATAACCCCGCACCCTGTATACAGATTGCACGTGAAAGGAATTGTGCAGAGTGCGGCATATGTTGGACTCTTTTTGAAGATTGATAGACTAAACACAGACTCCAGGTTGAGGGGGTGATTGCCTCAAATTACCCCTGATCTTCAACCATTCTTCTCTATACTGGACTGCAGAAGCCACTAGTTGGCGAAACGTTTCCACAATGAAGATACCCAAGTGTTGCACAAGTGTAATTCATTACAAGTATAAAGCACTGAACCTGGGAAATCTGAAGCAACCGAGTCTGATCTACGGGAAGGGTGTTGCTCCGTGTCCATTTATAAACAGCCCTTCACCGGCACCAAAGCAACTCCCCCCCACCTACCTCTCCACCCGTGAAGACAGGCCGTGCGTGTTTAGGCCTACCGGGAGTTTAGTTACTGAATTATCTTATCAGATGACTCTCCATCTTCCTCAAGAACAATGTACTCAGTCTTCACTGAATGTTACAAATAGCTCCACAATAATGCTATGTTAAAACAGTTATAAAACCACACGAGTTATGCCAATCTGAGTAAAAACAGCTGGCCGGTTCACTTATGTTGTGCATGACGGACTAGGCGTCTATAGTGCACGACGGACTAGGCTTCCATTTTTCAAACAAAGTTTAATTTCTTTGTGCATTATAAAAAAAAATGCATTTACATGTAATAAATACTATTAAACACAAAAGAAAGCCACTGGCATGCATGTGCATTTCGGGCTAAAGATAAAATAAATAACATGCTTCACCTTAAAAGGTTTACTATTTATACCATTATATTCTTTAAAATAGTGCAAGTTTTAAATTAATGATGCCTTTTACTTCTTCCTAGAATTAGTGATTATTTCCTTCAAAAAAACACCAGCATTTTGATATTACAACTACACTTCATGACGCACATCAATAAACACAAGCAGTCACGGCCACGACTCACAAGTCACTGAAATATAATCTTGTGGTATAACTTGCTATACAGCTAGTGAACACTGGCTGGCAGTCCTTGGGCCAGCACCTCCAAGGCAAATCTGTAT